TAACTTATTTATCAAGTTAAATCGATGTGGTGTTGACACGTGTCCTTTATATTTTATTTTTTAAAACAAAATGTTTTTTATTTATTAAAAATTAGAAATAATTATTTAATTATAAATAAACTAAATAATTAAAAATAAAAAGAGAGATAGAGAGAACAACAACGGATAGCCGTTGGTTGTCTTCTTCACGGACAGTCATGGCTGTTCGACAAGACGGCCACGACCATCTAAGGAAGGCGGCCATGGCCGACGAAGGAAAACAGCCATGGCCGTCTTCTAGATCTGGAACGAGGGCTTCGGCCATTACCGCTGCCCTCGTTCCAGACGAAGGGGAACGATTCGCCTCCGTCTGGAATGAGGGCAGCGGCCATGGTCGAAGCCCTCGTTCCAGATCTAGAAGACGATCGTGGCCGTCCTGCCGGACAGCCACGGCTGTCTGTGAAGAAGACAGCCACCGACAGCCGGTGATTGTTTTTTTTTTTGTTTTTTTTTTTAATTGTTTAGTTTATTTATTTATTTATAATAAATAATATTTTAAATTTTTAATAAAAAAATATTTTGTTTTAAAAAATAAAATAAAAAGGACATGTGTCAATACCGTATCAAGTTAACCTTATAAACAAGTTAAATTGGACTTAATTAAACAATTTTACCGGTTTAAAGGACTTGAATGAAGCTTTTTTCACTTAGGGACCCAATTGCACTATCCACTTGACTTAGAAGGTCAATTTGACCCTTTTTCCTATTAGATATTATTATATTGGACGCAATTAGTTACACCAAATAGAGCAATAAATCATTCCTATATGTTAATAAGGAAATATGAGATTTATATTCATTTATAAACTTTAGTTATTTCATAATTATGTTGATTTAATATGATAAAAATATAAACATAGATATTTGTAATTAAAATATAAATTGATATTTAAAGTAGGTAATTATTAAAACAATAAACTATATATATTATGTTGTAATTTGGGCTTTTGATTAGCTCAATTCTCGCGTGTTGGTTGTACGGTAATTGCCAATAGATTATATATATGATAATGAAATGTAAAGAGGTTGATGGGGATTATACCCTGGTCGGATCGGGTCGCATTGCCCGGTCACCTGACCCGCTTGGGGGGGCCGCTCAAAGAAGTCGTTTGGTCAGCCCCTTAGGCCGGACCTCCCGGTCACCCGGTCATCTCTTGAAGTTGAGACGCTCGGTGGGCCCTGCTCCTCCTTGGTCGGTGACCGGGAGGACCGACCGGGCGGGGCTGGGTCCCCTTGTTGGCAGATAACGCGCGCCACGTGTGCGGCTGCATGTTCGCCTCGGCTAGACCCGATGCATGGGCGCCACGTGCCCGTCATGCCCGAGGGCGGGTGCTGCTCCTTATGTCTCTTATAAATACCGCATTAAATGCTGTAGAGAAGGACTTTTGGATTAGGCTACTTACTAGATTAGAGAGGATCCCGGTCATCATATACGATCGGTCTATCTATAACTCTACTGTAACCTATACGTATCAATACACTGTTATTTTATTCACATTAGAGGTAAAAGAAAACAAAGAACACAAGATCACCAATATGCATTTTCATTAAGCCTTCACTATCAATATATACACATCCATACAACCTTTCATTTCTTTAACATAAACAATGAAATAAATGGAAGGCAAATGAAGAGTCTCAAAGTTTTAATGGTCATCAATAAAATATTTATAACACTCTCCATTGGTCATTAAATAACTATACTCATGTCTCGTTAAAATCTCGCTAGAAAAACCCTGTGTGAAAAACCAAGTTGAGGAAGAGAGTACATGCAGTATAAAAATATGTGTTGCATCGGTTGCCTCATTAAAAACATTAACCTAATAAAACCCCAATGGGAGAAAAACCTAGCTAAAGAACAAAGAGTACAAGCCTTCTATGCATCCTCTTCAAGATTTTTAAGGTCTTCTGGACCGTCTATTCATTTACACTTAGAGTTTATCGCTCTCCCTGAAGACAACAGTTTTCCAAGCCTTCGTATCCCGATTTTATAAACATATTTCTCAAATGTGGATGTAGAATTAATTCCACCAGAAGTCCCTTGTCTTTGGTGGCATTTCTAAATTTGGTCCCAAACTATTATTTTTGCCATTTAACATCCCTAGACTATTATTTTTTGGACACTTTTAGTCCTTATCATGACTTTTTCTATTTTTAGTAAGGGTATTTTTGTCTCTTCATATTTTTCTTTTGTTATTTTTCTGATTTCAACCGGTTTAATTGGTTTAGGACTTTACTAAAAACCGGTTGAAAAATATGATTACTAAAAATCAGAAGTTACCTAGAGTTCTAAATCAGTTAAACCGATAAAAACCAAAAAAATAATAAAAGAAAAATATAAAGACACAAAAATGTCCTTACTAAAAATTGGAAAAGTCGTTAGAAGGACTAAAAGTGTCCAAAAAATAATAGTCTAGGGATGTAAAATGGCAAAAATGATAGTCTGTGACTAAATTTGAAATTGTCACCAAATACAAGGGATCTCAGATGGAATTAACTATGTGGATGTAGGTAGGGATTTAGTGAACAAATTTGCTATATTTTCACTAGAGCGAACATTTTCAACGAGTATTTCACCACTCTTCTAGAGTTCATGTGGGTAAAAGAACTTAGGAGCAATATGTTTTGTAAGGTCTCATTTAACGTAACATACCCACTACTAATATGTGCAACACATACCGCATTGTCCTCATATAGGACTGTGGGGGAATCAACTTTACTCATTGTACCACATGAGTTATGGATATGTTGTATCAATGACCTTAACCATACACATTCACGTGAAGCTTCATATAAAGCAATTATCTTCGAGTAATTGGATGAGGTAGTAACTAAGGTCTACCTCCAAGATATAGTTGTATCTCCACACAGGAAAACATAACCAGTCTGAGATTTAGCATTATGAGGGTCAGACATATAACCAGCGTTTGAGTATCCAGTCAATGTAATGCGTTGGTTATTTTCAAAATAAAGACTAAGGTATTTTGTACCTTGGATATATCTAAACATATGTTTACTCCACTCCAATTTCTTCTGGTTGGAGAGGCACTAAACCTAGCAAGTAAATTCATCGAGATGACAATATCAGGTCTAGTGCAACTGGCCTGATAAAGCAAGGCTCCAATAGCACTTAGGTAAGGAACTCCATGTCATAGTATATAGGGTGACCAAGGTTTCAGTTCCGGTTCGAAACTGCCGGTTCTAATCGTGATTATTTTATTTTATTTTATTTTATTTTATTTTATTACGTTTGTAAGAAGAGTGACAAAGACTCAGCTTTGAGTCTTGGCGCAAAAGCCAAGACTTTGGCCTTTGCACCACAACCCACAGCTACTCAGCTGTGAGCTGTCCCACTGCACACCGCCAATGTGGCAGTATGCTGCAGGCCTGAGGCTTGCAACAAACATTTTTTTTTTTTTTGCTTTGGAACCGGAATCGTCCGGTTCTGAGCCAGAACCTGCGATTCCGGTTCCTTTATTACGAAAACCTTAATCGGAACCGAAATCTTATTGGTTCTGGTTAGGAATCGGAATCGAAACCGTACAGACAGTTCGGTTTTGGTTCCGATTCCAGTTCAATAGTGCACGGTCCGGTTCAAACTAAATCGTGGTCATGCCTACTAGTATATCCTTATTATCCTCCTTAGGTCAAAATGAGTCTTTGTCTACTTCAAGGGACCAGACCGGAGTGCTAAGGAGATGCGATTTATCCATATAAAATTTCTCCAATAATTTATTAGTATAGTTAGATTGATGAATAAAAATTTCATTGGGTAGATGCTTGAACTGCAGGCCGAGACAAATCTTGGTTTTACCCAAGTCTTTCATTTCAAGTATTTATAAGCTATTTGCCACCAAAATTTAGATTCAAAAAGATGTAATCATTATTTTTAACATGCTTGGTTTTATTGTAACTTGTAAAAGTATACAACACATTGATAAACGGTACTCCCTCTGTCCCATTTTATCTGCCATATTTACTATTTATCAGTCAAATCAATTCTTTCTTCCTTGTTTATTTTCTTTTATCATTTTTACTTATTTTTTAATTGGAATAAGGTTCAAATTGACCACTGAACGTAACTTGAAAATGTAATTAGACTATTGAACGAAAAAAAAAATAGTGCAATTAGGCCACTGAACCCTAAAAAAAGGTGCAATTAGGCCACTGAACATTCCAAATGTATGCAATTTCACCGGATAGCAGATTACCATCAATTTTAGCAGGTTACCTGCTTACGTGGCAGCTGAGTTGGTATTTTTAATAATAAATTTTTAAACATTTGAAAAAAAATTAAGTAAAAAGAATAAAAATAAATAAAACGACGGGTGGCCACCTTCGTTTTTATTTTTTATTTTTTATAACAAATTTATTATTAAAATTTATTTAAAATTATTAAAAATGTCAACTCAGCTGCCACGTAAGCAGGTAACTTGCTAAAATTGATGGTAACATGCTATCAGGTGAAATTGTATACATTTGGAGTGTTTAATGGCCTAATTGTACTTTTTTCAGTCACTTCTTTTGTCGAAAATTTCGTCGGTCACTTTTTTTTTGTCGGAAAATTCGCCGAAAGGTGGTCTGAACCCTAATGACCTGTGATAGTAGGTCATTAATTTGTTTTTGGACTTCATTGCACTTAAATGAATTGTTGATGGGTGTAATTGCACATTTAAAAAGTTTAGGCGCCTAATTGACTTTTAAGCTAAAGTTCGAGGGCCTATTTGACCATTTTCTCCCAAAAAAAATAATAAAAATGTGTTTAGTTCACACTCTAAACATATCATCCTTATCTCTGTAGTATAAATTTATACACCTCATGCTCAAAAAGTCAAGATCCTACCACCAGAATTCAATCCTGTAACATTTCTTCAAGGAGAGCAAAGAAGTGTCATCGGTGTTCGGCAGATTTTTTATATTTATTAGTTACTCATTATATGACCTTATTTTTTTTTGTTCTTTTTATTTTTCAACTTTTCATTTGTAAAAATAAATGAAAAAGGTAAAAAAAAATCATTTTCTACATTCTTTCCCTCCTTTTAAAAGAGAAGAAATGAGAAATCCCCTGTGGAGGATTCCACTGCAAGCTTTGAGCACTGAAGAAGAAGAACGGCACATTACTAACTTTCTCTGTAAACTCCATTAAAAAACTCTCTTTTTCCTCTCCAGATGGCCCGAAACAGGGTGAGTTTTACTCTTTAATCTCCCTATATTTTATTCAATTTACTCCGTATCAATCCGTAGTTCCATTCGCGGCTACATTTATTCTTCACGTTTATATAACCTGAAAATTTCCGCTTTTATTTGGGCACTAATAATTTCCGAACACAAATAGGAGGGTTTGATTTTGGTGATTGATGTGAGCCCTTCAATGCATTCTGTTCTTCCTGAAATTGAGAAGGTTTGCTCCGTGTTAGTGGAAAAGAAGGTATTTTTTTTACGATCACTGTTAACTTTATAGTGTTTTCCCCTCCAAAGCTGTGTAGATAATCTCTGTGCATTATTGTATGTAGTTGATTTACAGCAAATATGATGAAGTAAGAGTTATTTTATTTGGGACAACTGGTAGTTCTTTTCATTTCTTGTTTATTTGTGATTTTATTGCTACTATTATCTTAGCATGATGCTGCTGTCCCTCCACTAGATGAAATGCTTAGGAGTATTAGGACTCTATGTATTTGAGTTAGTTCACAATACTAGTCTTCTTATGATTCACAATCCTAGTCTCCTTCTGTCTCCTCTTGTATATATACCTAGAATCTGTATTCTTGTAATCATCACTGTTAATACATTCAATAACAGTTATCATCAGGAGGGTAACAGATCCCGATCTTGAACTTCTTTCTCAAAACAAGACCATTGTTGATGAATTCAGAAGGTGTTTTGAACTGAAAGACAACCCAAAGGTATTCTTGACAAGCATGACTCCATTTGATAAAATCAGATTTTGTTATACCTCATTTGTCAATAGTTTCTATATATGCAATCATGTTGAATTGGTTCTCACATTCTTAGCTAAGGGTGGTTCTCATTATATATATATATATGAATCTTATTATACCTATTAATGTCCTGCAGATGAAGAAATCAAGAAAAAGATTGAAAAGAGAAAAACCAACTGGATCAGATGAGGAAGGAGAAGATTTGGGCAAAAGCACTGAAGCCAAACCTATTGGCTTCATAGGACATGCATCTAATGTTAAATCCGAAAAAATTGAGAGTGATGTTTTGAAGAGCGAGGGTAGAAGCTTTATGACTGATTCCCAGGTGAAAGCAGAAACTGCTAAAAAGGAGCCCAAAGAGAAGCAAGATATTATGAGTATATGCTTTTCTTCTCCTTCTCCTTCTCCTTCTCTTTCTCCTTCTCCTTCTCCCCCTTCTTCTCCTTCTCTTTCTCCTTCTCCTTCTCCCCCTTCTTCTCCTTCTCCTTCTCCTTCTCTCCCTTCTTCTCCTTCTCCCCCTTCCTCTCCTTCTCCTTCTCCTTCTCCCCCTTCTTCTCCTTTTCCTTCTCCTTCTCCTTCTTATTCTGGGTAAAATTGGGCAATCTATCTAGGAAAACAGATTTTGCTTGTTCTCTCGACTCTCAAGATCTGTAAAATACTAATTAGTTTTTGGCAAGAACAGTTTTTTTGTCTAAAATTTCTAAGTACCTTTAACTAGTGGTTCTATTAATTCCTTTTGAACTAGTATTTACTTCAATTCTCTATTTTTTTTTCTAAATGTACCAAGAAATACATTTTTTGTTTTGTTTTTCTTTTCTCCAATTTTTCATTCCACCACAAAAATAGAGAATTTCTCCCATTATTAAACGCAGCAGACAAACATAGCCAATCAAGATAGAGTGGAGATTACTGATGAAATGATAAAAAGAATGAACACCTGTGCCCCTTCTCTCCACCTCCTTGACTGCAATAACTGCAATACAAAATTTGACAGAATTCACAAGCAAAAAACAATTAGAAATGCATGCCTTCATTCAAAAAAAAGTTTATTCATTCAAAACAACATTCCAACTTTAACCGAACAGATGTGCCACTTCGCCCACACACACTGAAGACATCACCCTCCTAAAAAATGGCTAAATCAGATTAAAAAAAAAAAAAAAAAAAACGTGTGCGTACCTCTGTTCTCCATTGGCGACTGTGTGTTCATTCTAACTGTGGTGTCTCTGTGTGATTAGGATATGTGATTATAGGCGATAGTGTTTGCATTCATACCATTAATAGAACTCCTATAAATATGAACATTATATTTTATCTAATTAAATTCATTTAAATATTTTTCATTACTTTACTATTTCACCCTTTTCCCTTATTTTAAGTCAATTAAAACTTGAATTCTTAATAAATCATGACCATTAAAATTTATTAGATTCATGCACAATTGATCTCACAATCTCACTTAAGGGTCCGTTTGGAAACCAGAAAAATGACTTCTGGAAAATGTTTTCTGGAAAATGAGTCATTTTCCGGAAAACATTTTCCTTTCCGGTGTTTGGTTGCATTCTGGAAAACTGTTTTTGTGTGTTTGGTTCATTTTCTGGAAAATGAGTAGAATTGTATAATTAAACATTTTACCAGGACTATGTGGTCCAATGGTATCCGGGTTGGACTTCCATTTGGAAGATTGTGAGTTCAAGCCTCAGTGGAGGTGTTATTAGCTCTTTGTGTTTCAGTAGGTTGAGAAAGTATATGAACAGATACTACAATGTAATAGAGCTAGTAGCATTCAAAAAAAAAAAAGTATAATTAAACATTTTAATTATTTTATTTAGAATATTACAACATGTATAATAATATATAATAATATAATATTAATATTAATTTTAAATATAATAAAAAATAACTAAGTTTTTCAACAAAAAAAAAAAAAAACTAATAATATATCAAAAATATTATGGTGGTGGTGGTGGTGTAGTGGTAGTGGTGTTATTCGTTATATAATAATAATAATAATAATAATAATAATAATAATAATAATAATAATAATAATAATAATTGGTGGTGGTGTGATGGTGGTGGTAGTATGACGATGGTGTGGTGGTGGTGGTGGTGGCGGCGGCGGCGGCGGTATGGTGGTAGTGGTGGCGGCGACGGTGGTTGCGGTGGTATGGTGGTGGTAGTGGTGGTGGTGGTTGCGGTGGTATGGTGGTGGTGGTGGCGGTGGTATGGTGGTGGTGGCGGTGGCGGCGGTGGTGTGGTAGTGGTGGCGGTGGTATGGTGGTGGTGGCGGCGGCGGTGGTATGACGGTAGTGGTGGCGGCGACGGTGGTTGCGGTGGTATGGTGGTGGTGGCGGCGGCGGTGGTTGCGGTGGTATGGTAGTGGTGGTGGCGGTGGCGGTGGTGTGGTGGTGGCGGCGGTGGTATGGTGGTGGTGGCGGCGGCGGTGGTATGACGGTAGTGGTGGCGGCGACGGTGGTTGCGGTGGTATGGTGGTGGTGGCGGCGGCGGTGGGTGCGATGGTATGGTGGTGGTGGGGCGGTGGTATGGTGGTGATGGCGGCGACGGTGGTTGCGGTGGTATGGTGGTAGTGGCGGCAACGGTAGTGGTGGCGACGGTGGTTGCGGTGGTATGGTGGTAGTGGCGGCGACGGTAGTGGTGGCGACGGTGGTTGCGGTGGTATGGTGGTAGTGGTGGCGGCGGTGGTGGTGTGATGGTGGTGGTGTGACAATGGAGGTATGGTGGTGGTGGTGGCGGTGGTATGGTGGAGATGGCGGCGACGGTGGTATGTTGGTAGTGGTGGTGGTGGTGGTATGGTGTTGATGATGTTGGTGTAAAAGTTGGAAAATGACTTCCCCCAAAAAAAAGGGGAAGTCATTTTCCATAAAATTGCCTTCCTTTTCCATTGACTTCCACCCCATTTTCCTTTGACCAGTCATTTTCCAATGTAACCAAACACCAAAACCCCGGAAAATGACTTCCAGAAGTCATTTTCCGGGTTTCCAAACACACCCTAAATAGGTGATCTCATAGGAACCTTTATATATATATATATATATATATATATATATATATATATATATATATATATATATATATATATATATATATTCGTCTTATATAATAATGAAAAAATAAATTGGTTAGATTGTTGAATTGGTGACCATAACGTTACAAGTTTAATTTCTAATGAAAGCGTCCTATTGACCTTATTGGTTTAAGCAATTCAGTATGGACAACCTAGACTGATTTATCTCCTTGTAATCCGTTATCGACTAGGATCTGATTTATTTTCTTGTAATCCTTTACGGACTAGGGTCACAATGTGGAGTTTACCCAACGCACTCTTGGGCAATGGTTACAAATTTCCATCGTTACTCCAAAAAAGAAGTGTAATTTTCCTGGTGTAATTTTACAATATGGAGTTACACCCTCTCAGTAGAAAGTGATGTTTACTCTGTGCACACCATCATATAATGACTATGAGTTTTCATTGTCATAAAAAGTTATTATTACTGCCTTATTATTTACAGGATCGTTATGCCGTGCAACTGTGTGCACCATGCAAGGTGCACACAGAATTATATTCATAATTTCTATACTATAGATAAATAATTTCTATACTATAGATTCATAATTTCTATATTGTAGATTCATAAAATCTATATTGTAGATTTAATTTCTAAACCGTAGATTCATAATTTAAGTACAGTAGATTCATAATTTCTATACAGTAAATTCATAATTTTTATACTGCAGATTCATAATATCTGTACTACAGATTCATAATATCTGTACTGTAAATTCATAATTTTTGTACTGCAGATTCATAATTTCTAAAGTGTATAGTTATCAAATTATGAACATATAGTTCTGTGATTTGTGAATACAGAGTTCAACAATTGGAAATATGAACATAGATGATACTGCTAATTATATGTAAGCAATATAAAATAACACGAGACCAATTAAAGCAAGTAAAATCTTTATTGATCACGGTAAAGGCCCTAAGTACAATCTACTTGGTTGCTCTGAGTACCGACTGTGTGCGGTCGGGATTCTCTAACAACAACCTATCGATCGTCCAAAAGTCCCTTACACTGTAGCTACTGTGGGTATTTATAGCCGCTATGCCGGGGACAGGATTCCAGCCGTTCGGCATGTCCTCCACGTAGCCACCACATGTCATCCTCCCGGGTGCCCTGCCTGTCGATGTAAAGAGCCGCCACGTGTCCTTCGTCAGCTCTTTCGCCAAGGGGCTACCGCTCGGTGGTCGACACCGTCGCTCGGGCAACTCCCGGTCGGTCTACGACCGGGTTCTTCTCGTGGAGCCCGACCTGTTACCTGCAAAGACAAGGAGAAAGAGACAAAGGCTCCTCGGTCGTGGTGAAGCTATGTCGGTCGGGATATTCCCTACTAAGAGCCCCCCAGCCCGGGCCTTTTTGATCGTCCGGGAAAAAATGGGCCGGGATGAAGACACCCAACCATCGGCCGCTAAACCGACCGGCCAGCTGTCATTCCCTCTTCGCCACGTGTCGGCCACTGCCGGCCTCTGCGACTGCAACCGTTGCCTCGGAATCAGCGCGGGTCGTGTCGCGCAAGTGGACGACTTTCCCGCCTAAA